ACATATTGGAAATGCCAGAAACGGCTGGATTGTAATGATCATCCGCGTTACTTTCGTCATCGCCGTCGTCAACCCGGGATGACCTTTCCAAACTCACTCTCTCCCCGACCTCTGACCTGCATTATGCATACGACAGCTATGTGCACCCTCCTCTATCTCCTCCACATCCTCCTGTTCCTCCTCCTTTTTCCTTTTCGTCCTCCTCCTCTTCCTCCTCCTCCTCCTCCTCCTCGTCTTCCCCCTCCCTGGTCTCCACTGATCCTCTCCTCCCTGCCCCTAGCTGCCCAGAAGACGACCATGCGAACCCCACCCCCACCCGCGCAGGTCAGAGTCTTGAATTCGAAAGGTGCCTGCAGCCAGGCGAGCCCCGCCGGGGCTGTCCCACAATCTGGCGCCAATTGGACCCAGAAGGGGAGAGAGTTGCCAGTGGTCGCAGAGTTGGGAGAGAAGGGGGCGAGGAAACCGAAAACTTCATGAGCGTTGGGAAAGGGTGGCGCGAGAAACTCCCCCTCCTCCTCTTGCTCCTAGTCCTCGTCCTTGTCCAAGTCACTGTCGCCGTCTGCCACCCAAAACGGACTTTCCAAACTCACTCTCTCCACGACCTCCGACACCCATGGCGCTTACGACGGCGATGACCATATTCTTCCTGACCCTCCAGTTCCCCAGTCTCCGTTTGCACACCCGTGCCCCCCTTCGCCTCGGAGGACTGGCGCACATAGGACGCGAATGATGTCACCACGCGAGTGGCCCAAGGTAATGTTCAGGAACAACCGTTTTCTCCTGTCGATGGATCTTTTTCACCACACGTGATGAAGCCCCGCAGCGGGGCGGGCAAAAGAGGCTGAGCCCTCCCTCCAACCTAGCGACAGAAGGGCTCGCACCGAAAAAACGGCAGCGGGAAGGGAGGAACGGGGATGCGGCAGCAGTGGCCACCAACGCTGCCACCGCACGAAGTTCCCCTGCCCATCCTTCCTGTACTCCGCCCGCCCGCACGGCGGGCGGGGCACATGCTTAGAAACCTCCACCAGAGGACGACGCGGGCCATGGATGGGCCACCTGCGCGATCTCCGCCCCGAACTGATGTCGATAAAAGGCAGCAAGCAGGATGTCGGGAGCCCGCTCCCGCCCGACAGGGGTCGCCACCCCGTCTCCTGCGCTGCCTGTCTGCCGCCACCGGCGGTCCTGTTCCGACCGGGCAACTCAGCGGCCGTCGTGCGGAGTGCCGTTGGCGCAGACGTGGGGGCACCGGTTGCCCCAGTGGCCCGGCCCGCAGCACAGACGACACACTTCCCAACGCCAGGATGTCCGAGGGGACGCTCCCTGGAACGGGCCATCCTCCTCGGAGGCGCAGCCCCTGCGGCCGTTCCTCGTCTCCTCGCCGGCCATTGCGCCATGTTTGCCCTTGCCCTTGGGCCCCTTCCCTTTAGTCCTCTTCGTGCTCCTGCCTGCGCGGCTCGCAATGGGCCAGCTCGCGCCAAAGCCCCTTCCGCCAGCCGCCGCTGCGCCTGTCGCCGACGCCTTGCGGACCTTCGCCTCTGAGTCCCTCAGATCGGCCGCCGCCGCCGCCATGTCCGCGCCCTCGTACTCTGCCGAATCCGAAAGGCCGTCGCTGGTCGGAGCGGCCTCACGGCGCCCGACATCCGTCTCGGGCGCTCTCTCCTTGGCCTTCGGCCAAATGGCTCAGAACATCCTCTCCTCATCACGCTCCGCCCGATAGGAGGCCTGCCTGGAGATCACCAACATCGAGTACGCTGTGGCAACGGGGACCTCTTCCATCAGCGCCCGCACCAAACTCCACCGCCGCCACGTCTCACCGTCCCGATCCCCATCGTTCCAGCGATCCGCGATATCTTCCAGGGAGTCCAGGGACGGGCGCACCAGCTGGCCCGGGCACGCCACCTGGAAAAACTGGAGAACCACAGAATCCACCGATCAGCGTCCAGGCCGTCGATGGTCGACCGACTGAAAACGTCATCCACTGGTCGCCCGCATCGAGGACCTTTGATTCGTCCGCCACCTCGTCGCCCGCCGCACCGCCCCCTCCTTGGCGGGATGCAAATGGGGGGATAAGTCCAGGGGGGGAGAGAGAGAGAGAGAGGCGCAACGGGGGGGAGAAGGTACAATTTGCACTTGCAACCCGCAGAGAAGGTACAAATTGTACCCCAACGAAACGGTACCGGAGACTCACCCCCCCATGTCCTGATCCCCCCATCGCCATCCGGCCGACCTCCTCGCGGCACGTCCAGCGGATGGGCCCCGGACCCCGGCCCGAAGGGAAGCGCCTCCCTGGCGGTCCTGTCGCGGCCGGGCTCCTCCGGGGCTGGGGCCTCGCCCTGGGGGCTCCGCTGCGCCCTGGGGGCTGCAGCACCGCGCGGCCGCCGGCCTCCTCGACCGCCGCGTGTTCCTTGCCCCGCCGCTCCCCTTCGCCGCCCGTCGGCGCCGACGCCGTCTCCTCGCCGTTGCAACCCACCGCGGGGGGAAGAGGACGGCCGTCGGCCCGCGCCCGCGCACGCCTGGCTTGGGCCTCAAGTGGCTGCACGGGCACTCTGGCGATAGAGGGGGGGAGGACGAGGGGCGACGGTGCGCCTTGCTGTTTCTCGTCCTCCTTCGTTATGTTTCGCTTGATGGCTTGGGCGCTCATTTCGTGCACTCGCGTACGATTTGTTGCCGTAAACTCCCGTAGTCTATCGTTGGCCCCCCATTGACAACCCATCCGATATCATCCACTGGCTCAGTAGCCACCTCGATACCCTTTTGTTGTCATCGCGATGCGGGCCACATGACACATGATATTCCAACGCGGCGAGACACACCGCGTCGTGCGCGTCCCCTTGATCTTCACATGATCGCACAGGCCCCGACAATCGGTGAACAGGGTGAGCGGCATGTGTGCCCCACCGTACTCCACCACCGGGATGTTGTTCCACCCCTGCAGGGCCTCACACAGCAGCGCCCGCATGCAGTAGGCCATGCCATGTCCCACGACGCATACCGCCGTCTCGGCAGCGAACGTGGGCGTCAGCACGCGGTGGCTCGCCCGACTGCGCCAGTCCAAGATGGATATTGGCAGCTCGGCCCGTTCCATGCAGTCCAGATCGATGGCGGCCATCACCACACCGGTTTGTGACATCACCTTGTGGAAATCAAACTTTTTGATGGCTTCGCTTTCCTCGGTGAGTTCGCTGACGTTGCCGTAGAGCGAAAAAACGTGCCAGCAGCCCACCCCCATGCGTCCCCTGATGGGCCTTGCGAGCGCGTCGATGCCTGCGTGCGCCAGAGCGCATGTGAACTTCTTACAATGTTCTTTGGAAGCTGCAAAGATTCACCCGTGGCCGGCTTGCAAGCGTGACCGTTAGGGGGGAGTCTAAGGGGGCAACACGTGTTACCCCCAAGGGGATACAAGAACGATTTCAAGCCTGGGGGTTCTGGCGACCCCCGTTTCTGGAGCTCGTGCAGAACATTAGGGAATCCCACCAGCCCTCAGGGCGCAGGTAATCTACCGATGTTTTCATTCCTCTTCCAAAAGCCTTTCTTCCCCTTCGGGGGGGGGTATCACTGTCCCCTATTAACAAACCCCCTCCCCCAGGCGACTGGGGGCCAACCAGGGTCCATGACAACCCCCCCCCCACATACCATCCCTTGTAAAAAACAATACAAAATACACACACACACTCACACACACACACACACCAACACACCACACAACACACACACCACACAAAACACACACAACCACCATCACTGTCAACAAAACCATACAGAGTACACTTGGCGGCGGCGGCCGCGCTGCGGGCGGCTGCTGGCGGCGGTTGCGGCGGCTTGCGGCGGGGATAGCGGCGGCGGCGGCGGCGGGGGCAGGGAGGGGCGGCGCGGCGGCGGCGGTCGGCGGCGGCGGCGGCTGCGGCGGCGCAGGCGGTTCTGGTGCGGTGGCGGCAGGGATTGCGGCGCGGCGGTTTGGCGTGGGGGGCGGCGGCGGCGGCGGCGGCCGGCGGCGACGGCGGCGGCAGCGGCGGCGCGGCGGCGGCGGGCAGCGGCGACGGCGGCGACGGCGGCGGCGGCGGCGGCGGCGGAGGAGGCGGCGGCGGCGGCGGCGGATTGGCCCCCAGTAGCTGCCCATCCAAAGACGACTGCTGAATATGCTGAGGCTCGGGCCAGACTCGGGTGCTACGTATGTGTTGGGCGGGCGGGTGGGAGTGAGCGAGACGGCTTGCGGGGGGGGGGGGG